ATTTATTGTTGCCTCTGCCTTAAAATCCCAAATCACTCTGTATTTTGTTAAGTCTTGTGTAGACTTTTGTATAGAATTTGTCAAGTTATAGTCGTCATACTATAGTTGAGCAGTTTCTGATATCACTGTAGTTAAAAGAAAAACTACAGGTTAACAGTACCTAGTCTTAATAGTCAGATGGGCAAGAACCTCTAGATTGGGAGTCTCAGAGGTACTACTAACCAGACCACTAAAATGAACTGGAGGAAAAGAATATCAGACTGACCTGATATACTGATGGACTGGTCATAGTCTTATACAGGCTATCTGGATTAGGAGTTTGGTAAAAAGGCAGAGATATACTAAAGTACTAGAGTTATACTATGAAGTAGATGCTGAAGTCTAAGTAAACTCTACAAAAGTATAGCAGTTTAATGATCAACTCTGATCACAAATATTAGTTCTGTTATAGCGATACCTAGATCAGCTATAAAAATAAGTACAAAAGACTTTAGAAGATTTACCTTAAGAATAAATTAATCTTAAGATTGAGACAATGATTTGGGCATCTGAGTATGATCCAGTAAATTAATACAGGTTACAGATTCGGAGAATTTAAAGTAGAACACCAAAGCAGAGGTATTAGGTATGATAATTAGTAAGAAACCTTCAGGTGGACTTCTTAAATAGGTAATATAAAAAAGTTACATGTGTAAGCAATTGTACTCTCTCCTATAGTAGTTCATTGAACCACAATACTGATAAGTGATTAATAAAAATTAAAAAACCAAAAAGATCACCTTAATATCAAAAAAAAAAAATTTTAGGATATAATAACTTAGTAAAGTAAATAAGTTATCAATCTTCAAGTGATAGGTTATAAGTTTAAAACTTATTGACAATAAAAAATTTAGATAATTACCTATGTAATATTTGTATTATAATAACTGTTTCTAATAATTGGATTAAGATATTTGTAATTATAGTTATATTAGCATAACTAACAGATTATAGAATATTTGTATAACTGATTATATAAAGGAATGCAAACTGATATCAGGCAGTACAAACCCAAGATAAGTTCTTATAATTATATAAATCTATAAAAATTGATAAACAAGAAACCTATTTAGAAAAATTTGAATAAAAAGATAATATAAATTTTTAACAATACTATTGTAAAGACTAAATTTAAAAAATAGATACCAATATGAAGTATTCAGATGTACAAAAACTTTTGAATAAAAGGTACTACTAATCAGATCATTAGAATTCTAACTGAGAGAACTAAAAAAAAAATATTAAACTAACCTAATATATTAATAAATTAGTCATAATCTTATTAAGTAATTTGAATTGAGAATCTAGAAAAAAGACAAAGATATACTAAAAGTATTAGGAATATACTATATAATAGATACTGAGGTCTGGGTAAACTCTACAAAAGCAAGCCTGTTAATAGTTTATAAAATAGATAGGTTAGTTAATAAGAAGGTTCTCTAAAGCTTTACGGTTAGGTAATATGCTCTGAAATTAAGTAATAACTTAACAGACATACAGAAAGAAAGACTAAATATTGAATTAAACAGCATTTAGTTGTATGAAAACTGAGATGACTAATTGCTTGGATGCAGTATTAGGACTAGAATGTTTAATTAAATAGTCTTCTAGTAGATTATAGATATAACAACTAGTATAAAACCTTTAAGCAGACTAGTAGTTTAGCTATAGAAGATAATTTTGATCAAAACAATAAATGTCATTGTTGGCATAATTCTTTATTTATTGTATATAAAAAACCATTAGAGATATATCAATTTTCAGCTGAGAAGTATGAAATATTTCAGGTTTATAAAAAAGGTTTATAAGTTGTTCTTAAAATGATTTTTTTCTTTTAAAAAATCATAGTTACTTAATTATTACTACTTTTTTTTTTGAGTAGTATGTGACATATAATATAATAAATCTTAATTAAAATTTAAGCAATAATTACATATAGGCAAAGAGATTGGATAATAAATAAAGTTGTATTTTATATTTGTGTCACTTGTAGAAAGTATAAATCAAATGTTAAACATAGATTAAAAAGTATATTATAATTTTTTAACATATTTGTTTTTAACTCGATAATTTTATCATACCTAGCATTAAGCTCTATTTTGTTGGATGGCCTGTACGTCTAAACGCCTTGTTAAGCACCCACTCTTTTAGGACTAGAGAAATCTTGGCCTTAATTAATATACATAATTAACAGTTTTTATATTCGCTTTTTTTGGTAAATATATATTGTTTTTTTTTGTTTCGGTGTTTTTTATCCTTTTTTGTCCTCTATATCATAATTTCTCGGTTTATTTTAATGGTCTCTACTGGGTTAGCGAAAATATAACCCAATAAAAATAAATAAAAAATAAATTAATTAAAATAATGATCAATTTTTAATTCATGCAAACATTTAAAAAAAATTAATTTTATGGTTCCTTCATAATGTCATGTTAACCTAAAAATTAGCCTGAGCCCAAATCCGTTAACTTATGAGCCAAAATAATACAATTTATTAACAAGATCTGGTGTAGCGTGAAAATTAAAAAAAAACAAAGAAATCAACCTTCGTGCACTAACAAAAAATTCTTTGCTAAATTTTGGTATAACTTCGTCCACTAAACCTAACACTAATCCTAACCAAGATGTCACATTTTAAAAAGGACGGTGACATGTAAATAATCACAAAAAATGCCAACCAATAGAAAGAGTGTGGAGAAGTTAGTAAATGCAAAATTAAGTAGGGTTAATAATCACTATGAAATTGGTTACTGTTACTAAAATGAAATTAGAGTTGTACAGATATCTCATTTGCTAATATAACTAATACGTATATACAGATAATAAGAAAAATAACAGAAAATAATATGTACAAAATGATTACGCAACGGCCTATCCATTACAATAGCGATTACTATACAATAACATAATTGCTTTTCTTACTAATTAGAGGTAATAAGGGGTCATTGATCGTTAATATACTATTTAATAAGGCACTTTTTACTTTTCTCTCTTTCTATTTTTGATTGGATAATAACAAATAGTGTAAATACACAATATATATCTATCGTTCGCTAAAAATAATAACAAATATTTATGTTCTTGGCCCTGTGTTAACTTGGCATCAAGTAAAAAAGCTCTCCCAGGTCTCTGATCAGAAATCTTGAATTGCACCAATATCAATGTGTGTCTTCTATTTTAATGCTTCAAAATCAAAAATCTCTAAATTTTATATTTAAGCTCAAAATCTTAGATTTTGAAAGTTTTACTAAACTTTCCATTACTCTCAAATCAAATTTATTAATGCTAGAGCTTATGTCCACTCTTTTAAGAGAATTGTTAGCTTTCAAAGATTCAGCTAAAAACTTTCCTACTTCAGAATCTAGGTTATTGTCGCTTAAATCTAATTCAATAAGTGTTTTGTTAATCTCTAAAGCCTTAACCAAAGCTTTTCCAGTTTTAGGTTCAATTATAGTTGATTTTAAGCCTAAATGTGTAAGAGTATTATTTTTTTCTAAAGCTCTCGCCAGAGCTTCTCCCGCTTCTACATTAAATTCATTATGACTCAGATTTAAGTTAGTAAGGGCATGATTGAATTCTAAAATTTTTGCCAATATTAACTCTGCATCAAAACTGATGTTATTGTTACTTAAATCTAAGTGAGTCAAAGTCTTATTTTGCTTTAAAGTCTCTTCCAAAATTTTTACCACTTCAAAGCTAATATTACAATGGATTAATTTTAGGTTGACAAGAGTTTTATTTATTTTTAAAGATTTTGCTAACTTTTTTCCGCATTCTAAATTCATACAATTGTGACTTAAATTTAAACATTTAAGAGTCGTATTAGTTTCTAGAGCTTCAAGTAAAGCCTTACTTTCTTCAGGATTAATATTATTATAACTCAGATCTAAATTAAGAAGGCAAACTTTATTGAATCCTTTCACCAAAGATTTTACCGTTTTAGATCCAATGCAAGTTAATCCTAAATTCACGCTGGTAAGAGTTTGATTTGTATTTATTAAAATTTCTGCTAATGCTTCTCCTGCTTCGGAACCGATATTATTATTCTTTAAATTCAAACTACGTAGAGTTCTGTTTTGCTTTAAAGCACCAACTAAAACCTTTCCCGCCTCTGAACTAATACTATTTGAACTAATGTCTAAGTCAATCAGGGTTTTGTTCTCTTTTAAAGCTGATTCCAAATGCTTTGCTGTTACACAACTAATTACATCTTGTTTATAGTTTAACTTTGAAAAAGTTGTTTTTGTATCCAGGTAGTTGGTTAAACTTGTTTCGACAAAAGATCCAATTTTGTTTGAACTCAAGTTTAAACTAACAAGAGTCTTATTTGATTTTAATGCTTCCGCTAAAGCTATTTCTCCTCGAAATTCAAGATTAACAGAACTTAAGTTCAAATGGGCAATTTTACTACTGTTTAATTCTAGGACTTTAGCCAATTCCTCTATCACCTTATTTTCAAGATTATTGTAACTTAAATTCAAATTAACAAGGACTTTATTATTTTTTAGAACATCTACTAAAGCTTCTCCGACGCAAGAATCAATATTAGTATTACTTAAATTTAAGTTTGAAAGAGTTGTATTATTTTTTAAAGCCTTTTGTAACGCCATTCCTGCTTTACTAATAAACTTATTATGGCTTAAATCAAGGTGATTAACATGAATATCACTTTTTAAGATATTTACTACCATTTCTGGCTCAATTTTAGTTGATTTTAAGTTTAAGTTGGTGAGTTTAATGTTCGTTTCAAGTATTTCTACAAGTGCCTTTCCCATTTCTAGGTTATTATCATTGTAACTCAGGTTCAAATCAATGATTGTGTTTGTTTTTAGAACATTCACTAAGGTTTTTCTTACTTCAGAATCAAGCTTATTGTAACTTAAGTCTAATTTAGTAATATTTCCTAAGCGTGATTGTGAACTTTTCATGCCCACACTTCGTCCTAATGCTTTTAAATGACTAATTGGCACAATCGAATTAGCACTATTGTTATCACTCTCAGTCTTATCTTTTAAATGAAGAATGCACCATTGAAATGAATATTCTAATTCTATACTTTCATTGGAAGTTTCATCGCTATAGTCATCATCATCATCAATATCCATTATTTTATTCTCCTTAATATAGGTAATAGTTTCAATTCCTTTTTCATCGTTATAGTCATCATCACTAAAAAGTTTACTATTATTATTAATAATAGTTTCCTCATTAGTTTCCGCATTAATAGATTCATCTTCAATATCCATTATTTTATCCTCCTTAATATCGATAATAACTTCAATTCCTTTTTCATTATAATTTTTAATTCTAGTCATAAAACATGGCTCATAGTTCACTTGAGGATCTTGAGGATATACAAATGATGTAATAAAAATTGCATCTGATTGTAAGTCTTTGGGAACTTCTAATAATGGAACGTCTCTGTAAATTTCGCTGTCTGTTTCCGGAGTAAATGTGTGACTGCCTAAGCATAAAAGGGAGAAATTTCGTGTATCCGAACTATAAATGCCAACTTCCGATGGTATGCCAATCAATATCCAAGTTATTTGTGAATTGTTCAAGTTCTTTTCACTAAAAAATTTGAACAAATAAATAAATTAGAAGTTAATTAGGTGTTATGAAAAGAGAATAAATACAAGATGCATACATATTAGCGTTAGTGTCAAAATTTTCAATTGTAACTGAAAATCCATATATATTCATAGATGTAAATTTAACTACAAAATCATCAATTGGGACGCCACTTTGTGTCATAAGTTTTCCAAAAAGTTGATAATTTTTTGATTCAAGATGATGAGAAAAGTTTATTCGATAGTATGTTATTGAGTCTTTAATTGAAATTACACCAGCCATGAGAACCTTTGCTTTAATTTCAGAATTAATTGTCTGATCATCATTTCCAAGAATTAATTTAATTTCTTGACAAAGTGACTCTTCTAATATTTCATAGAGCGGATATAAACTTTTCCAGCTGATAACGTTTAATGAACTGTTCATTTCGTCAGAACAATTATTTACCCATCGTTTAATATCACTCCTCATAATTATATCGCCATCAATTGAAACTAAATAAGATGAATCAAAGTTGAACGACTTTGTCTTTATGTGACTTTCCCATTCGTTAAGAAATTCATTATATTTTGCCGACGAAAAATCATCTAGTGTCCATTCATCATTCTTAATATTTAACTCGGATGAATTTCCATCTGTGATTAAATGTGACATTACATATAACTTATGTCCAAGTATAACTTTCTCAGGCAAAAAATACCCGTAAGTTTTAAATACTTTCATCAACTCCCGGTAAGGATCCTGATGATTTAATGCAACTTTAATATCCTTGATTAATTTTTCAGATGGTTTTATTGATTCTTTTCTGAAAACCAATTCAACCCGTGAGTTTTGTATTTCTAAATACACATCTTTTACGGCGGATTCATTTTTTAGAGGATTTGCATCATTCATCCAATCAAGGTATTTCACATTAATCGCAGATGGATCAATATGATTTTCTAATAAAAAAGAATCTTTATATTTTGATGAAAGCACTAACTTGGGTTGAAATTTTCGATCCCGCAATTCGATGATTTCTGGTTGAGTTTTAAGGATACACGCTGAAAAATCCGAAGCTTGTATTTTTTTCGGGTTGATAATCAAGCCATGATTTAATTTTAAATCGGATATATTTGTTAGTATATGACTATTTGGACTATTTCTATGAGGGGGATCACTCAATAGGTCTTGTTTGATATCTGGGAATTGATTAGATGGATTAAGTTGTTTCTGAATTAAATCATGAATTTTTTCAATTACATTTTTATTATCAACATCATCAAGTCGAATTTCTTTCAAATTCTATATAAAAGTTAACTTTGATTTAATAAATATTCTTTACATTATTTTCTGAAGCGTCTGCATAATCATAAAATGTCCCAGCATAATCAACCAATAAAAATTCATGCTATATATATCGACACTTCAGGATTGACTAATTTTACCCAAGCACTCATCGGTCGTAACTTGCATTTATGATTGGATAAAATCGACGGACAATCAGAGAACAAGATCAGGTATAACGTAAAATCAATGAAAAACAATAGTTTTTTTCGTAGCGTTCCTCATGGTCGATTCGGGTCGGATTTTTCCCGAACTGAAAATAGATAATACCCGAAACCGAGAAAAAAACCCAGAACTGACCCGAAAAACCCGGACTGACTCCAAATTCAGTTAATCAACGTGGGTCATTTTATTTCGAGTCGGTCCAAATAAAGACCCGGAACCGGTCGGGTCAGGGATTTCTTATTTTTGCAAGTGATACAAATCACGTGCCAATAGTAAATATTTATTTGTTATTTTGTTAAAGGCACGTGAAATTTGGCCAGGAATTTTTTTAAGGTGATTTCCTAGGCAAAATTTTGAATTACCGGCTATGTTTTGAAAAAGCGATCTACGTAGAAAATTTTCCTTTTGAGGCTTGTATCACTTGCAGAAATAATGTACGCAAAATCATGGACCTGAACCGTGAGGGTCCGGATCAGTTCCAGTTCTTCGGTTCGGATCCGCGGAAACAACAAATTTGGGAAGACTTCTGTCTTTCTAACACTACTTTCTCAAAAGTCGCATTTATCTCAAAAAATCACCTTCTGTGCACTAATAAAAAAAATTCCTTGCAAGATTTTGGTCTAATGTAACTTATTAACCCTAACTGAGACCACATTTTAAAGAGAAGTGACATGTAATTTGGGGAAAATTAGTAAATCCTGGCACTTTACTGTTCAGGTGCTCACAAACACGTGTCTTCGCTCAAATCAGTTCACATGCTTCATTGGTCGATTGCTTCGGACACCTGTTATTTTCTGATTACTTAGTTTAAATAACACTGTACCTTAGCAATCTCGTTCAAGATATCATTATGCCTTTTTTGCTTAATTAAAAGCATTGTTGATTTCAATTGTTCTTCACAATCTTTATACTTTTCAACCAGCTGAATTAACGGCTCAAGTTTTCTTATTATATTTCTTTTTATATCTGGAGCGTGTATAATTTTATAAAATATATTTTCCCAACGTTTACAATCCTTTTCTACAGCCACTAAATCACTTATAGACTTCTTAATCTTCTCTAAAAAATCTTTATATTTAAAAAAAGGTTCTTGGTACCGTGAAAAGTATAATCCAATTTCATACTTCATTTGCTGTAAAATTTTCATTCTTTCGATTGATGAAAGAAATGGGTCCAAAATTTTTTTACATACAGTAAGGTTTTCATAAATTTGTTTAATGTCATCAATTAATTTGGAACTCGCTTCAATACACGAAATTCCTAGCTCTTCTGTCGATTGTCGTTGGTCCATTGTATTATACTACAATAATCGTTATAAAGATTCGCAATAAAAATTCTGTAATGAGATGACAATTTTGTGATTTTTATAAATGTAGTTTTTTTTTGTAAATTGATTAAACAGCGTTATCAGGATCATAATACGTATAAGTATTTGAATGATTGTGTACGTACGTACGTACATACTAAATATGCCATTTACATCACACCTTATGTAATCACATTATAACATTCGTGTTTAGGGTTTGTACTATCTGCATAATATGGTTGTGATTATATCAAATGTGATATAAAGGGTTCACGATTGTTTAAGTGTCCCAAAAAAAGATTTTTTTTTTTTTTTTTTTTTTAGTGTTAAGGTGGAAAATCAATTTTTATATTATAAATATTATAATAAATCATAAGAAAATGCAAACTATAAAGAGCTATACTGCAAAACTTTATTAATACAACTACTTTCATATCTTAAGTAAAAAATGATCCTAATTTAATTCTAAATTGATTTATGTAAAAAAAACTCTTAAAAAAATTGTCATTTTCGGCTCTTTTTCCAGCACCTAGCCCATTTATATTATACATATCCACTGTCCTGTATTTTAATATTTATGCTTTGCCTTTATAAGATGTAATTGTGAATTTTAGAGTTTTTGCGCCGAAGAAATCTAAAAACCACAACCACTCTTATAAAGGCAAAGTATAAATATACTATGCAGAGCAGTAGATATGCATAATCTAAGCTTTGTGCTACTTGGTTATATATTACATAGTGATTGTAATTTTTAAAGTTTTCATCTCGGTGTTTAATCATGTAGTACATCGAAATCAAATATTTCTTAAATTATCGACTTTAATAAGATATTTACGTACACATTTTATCGATGCTAATAATTTAGGAAATATTTGATTTTAATATGCTACTTGTTTATACTTTGAGCTACTTTTCCTCTATGAGGAGATTGTGGTTTTTAGATTTTCGGAACCCTGGGTAAATTTTCTTTTCTGTGAAACAGGTCAAGTCTACAAAGCAAACTTGAAGCTTTCACACTGCCCTACGTATAACATATTCCCTTAATCCATTTTAATCCACCAACTTTCATAGTGCGCTTCACTTGCTGAAGTTGCAATATAAGGTCGTTCAAAGTTAATTATTAGATTAATGTCATCAATATTTTGGGCTCGGGCATGAGGGGGGGAGGTGAAAATTTAAACAAACACATATATTCCTAAGAATATTTGATTAAATTTCATTGGTCAACCTTAATCACATGATTAATGAAGCTTTCCCGTATTGTGATTGGCTTGTTTAATTTCTGGGGGACAGTTAACCAGGAGGGGGGGTAACGTTAACCTAATAATAAACTTTGAACGGCCTAAATAAAACCATTTTATTATAATAATCGATTATGGCATATTATTGAATTACCATTAAATATAATTGTTATGAAAAACGGGATCCGTTGAGCAACGCCAAAATTTCTTGTATATCATTAGATAACTGACATAATTCTGATTTGAACATTGAAATTGGAAATAATTTTTTATTTATTTTATTTTACACTCCCAGGAACCCACCCGGAACCCATACTGAAAAAATTTTTATACTCTGCTCTGCAGAGGAAATTAGTTGTTCGAAACTAGGCGAAGCCGCCACGTGCAATTTCTAATCGAATTGTTTGAAATAATCTTTTCACTTATAAATTCTTCCTAATATTGTATTATGTCTTAAATTTTACGTGATAAAAATCTGATTTTACACCGAATATATTGTATGACTAATGCTACAGACACAACACTCAACTACCCCAGTGGCACCGACAGACTTTCACTGATCGATATTTTTTTTAAAGTCATAAAACGGTACATTAGGGTAAGGTTTATAATTATAACGATACTTGTTTTATACTAAAATATTGCAAGGAAGTTTTTTTACTAATGCGCAGAAGATGGTTACATAGACAAAATTTTGAGTTACGGCGGTTTTTTTTAGAAAATGGTAGTTTTTTGTTTTGATTTCACGTTACACCTGATCTCCGATTTACTTACTTTGGCAGGTAATACAAACCCAAGAACGTGAAGACAGAGGATCTACTGCAGTATAGGTGACACACTAATAAAATGCATTATTAATCAATTGATTTAGAATAGTGCCATTCATACTACAAGAGATCCAAGACAGAAATTTAAGGTTAGGGCGTTAACTTGGAAGTTATAGGAATAAAGTAACGCATCCTATATGTAAAATTTTTGTTGCCGACATCTTGAATTAGTGCATCAAGTCGATTTAAACATTAGTTTTCGAGTGTTTTCGCTTTGCTTTTTTTCTTCATTCGCACGTGTTTAGATTCTACGTCGGGTTGATCCGCCAACTCTAACGCTAATTCCAGTCATTGCTGTGCACACAAGCGCCTGAAATGTTGTGCCTGTATAGGGTATATTATTAGGGCATTTTGTTAAGAGGATATATTTGCACACTACGTAGGAAAAAGCGTTATTATCAAATTGACATTGATTTATACTCGGGTATTGTAAGCTATTTAAAAATGGTAGACAGCTTTTACTTGTCACGTTTGATCGTTCTGGTCCTGCCGGCTACCCTTATTTCTTATAAATACAAATTACAACCAATTAGCCTTACACGTGTTATCTAAAAAATGCTAATAAAGTACTTAAGCATATTCTGAATCTACCACTGTATCTCACTATATTGTTTCGAAAAACTCATGGTTTTTGAGGTTATAATTATAATTGGTGATTGAGAGGCTCTGAGTATGTTGACTGTCTCGGAACTCTGTTTCGCCATTCACTAAATCCAACACGCCTCTTTCGGTCGTTATACTCTATCACCGGTTACACGATGCTCAGGTTAGTGGAGCGACCGACTCGCCATTTTAGATCTCTCAATATATAAATAAGCAAGTAAACCCATATTAATATTACATGCACAAATCTCCATAGACATGGCAAAATAAATTGTCTATACAGTAAACATAACGATAAGTCACCAAATCTTTTTTTTTTTAATATTAAAAGGCTGAAAAAATGGTTTGGGCGTCAAAATTCACAACACTGTTCTCAAAGCATTCACAGGACACAGCATGCATTTAAAAAAGTTTTGATTGTGTAAATTGCATATATTTTGGCTTGTGACCGTAACATTTATCCATATAGACAAATAAATTACTATATTTATAAACTTAGAAACGATAAGGTTGAGTTTATAATATGAATGAAATTCCAAACAAAGGGCAAAAGTCATTATAAAAGGATTTAAACATTCTTGAATTATTAAATATACTCACTATTATAGATCGAACAAATTATAATATATACCTTTCTACTTACATAGTCATACATATAAATGAAGAAACAATGAATATAATCAAAACATGTCTTGAATTTCTTGGAATTGAAAACAACGACAATCCAGATGACCGGGAATTTGATGTGACTATCCAAGTTAAAAATGGATCATCGCATCCTTTTCGTTGTAAATTACCTAACGAAAATCTTGCCGAAATCCGAAATCGGCTCAGAAGAAGGAAAAATGATCCTTTCAAGATGGGAACAAATTGTTATTTTTTGGACAAGTCTGATATACGAATTTCACGTGAAACTGAAGTTGGACTTAAATTGAAAGAAATTTTACTAAATGACGTTTTGAATATAACCCAAACGTCTGATCTTGATTGGTCACTACTGGTTGATATGTGTGATCACGGGTTTATAGTTGAAGAGGAGCTCGTTAAAAAGGCGCCTAACCAAGCGTTTGAGATAGATATAGATAAAATCGAATCGATGAATATTGTAAAAACTGATGTGAAGAGGCAAATGAAAGTATGCAAAAACAAGTTTGCAGATTTATGCGAACAAAACTTTATAGCATATGGAAGCTCTTCAGCTATTCCATCTTTGCTTTCACTCTTCCTGGGAGCATCCTTAGAATCATATAAAGAAATGCTTAAAGAAGTATCTACCAAATATTCATGTATAAAGTTAAGAAAAGCAGAAATTATTATATCAGAAAAGAGCATTACACTAACTGAAGAGTTCAAGGAGGATGTTAAAAATGCGTTAATAGAGAAAACTACTAGAGAAAAAATAAATAAACTTCGAGAGGTTTCAAAAAAATATGGGCACTTTTACGCGCGTAGCATAGGTTTCGGTGGTGCTATTATTGAGAAAATCGTAAATACTGATACTGAAACTTCAAGTAAGCTATAATAGTTGTTATTGATGCTTGATTTCTTTAAAGTTTATATTTATTCATAATGATTCTTTTTAAAGATTTAAGGATGAATAGTGGTACCCTTCAAGTAAATGCCAATTTAGCCAGTGCAAGTGTTTCTCATGTAATCGGGAGTCAAACAACACGATCTGAACATAGATATAACAATGTCAGACGCGTCATTGGTGGAACTACAAATCCTAACCTGAAAGAATGGTTCAAATCACTTGAAGATTTTCGAAAATGGAGCATAATCGAGTATGACGATATTCGTCCAATATTTAGTTTGTTGGATAGTGAAATGCAAAAAGAAGTTTTAAATGCTTTAGGTCAAAGAGTTCTAGCAGGTAGATAAAAGTAATTATTTATCTCATTCAATCCAATAAATATTTTGTATCAGGTTTGTTAACATAGTATATATTAAATAATAGCGGGTGTTGCGAAAATTTTTCGCGACCCTAAGGAAAATGGTCCATACATTCACAGTTTACATGATGAATTACAACAACTAATAGATTCACAAAAAATTGCCAAAGATAATGTTCATGATTGCCAGATATTTGCTTCAGTAATGAACAAAGATCTTAGGGGCATATTTTCTATACGTGTGGAATTTGAAGATAAATATACGCCATTAATTGTTGTTCATCGTATTCATAAAGGTTTTCTGAACTTTAAACGTAGAACTAAAATTGGGTGGATTATAGTGGGCCGCCCAGAAAATTTTTTTGATTTCTACAATACCGAAATGATATTCAGAAAATATATCGGTACTGACTCAGAAAGAGAAAACCATCTTATACCTAAAAGTCCAGACTACCACATCAGAGGGCTTAATGAAATTAGATGCTTATTATGTACATGTGTAATTGAAGCACCTAAAGAAGCACCACACAAATCAAGGTTAATTATTAGTACACATACACATTACGATCTACAAGAAAGTTCTGCACGCATATTTATTCATCAACACGATAACAACTCTCTTAAGGATAGGATTAAATTATATTCTAGGTGAGCGAATTTCTTTATATTAAATTAATATTTTATTCTTTTATATTTATATTTACCAATCTGATTTGTACAGTACTGTTGAGGGCAATTTTGGTCAAATTTCGATCGATTGGAAAGAATTGAATAAAAATAAAATATATTATGTTGACTTTCCAAAAAAAGATCTCGAAAGTCCCATCTTAGTTAATCAGCTTATAGAAGATTGTTCAGAAAACTGTCAACAGTATCAAGGATTCCTTAATGTAGTTTCTAAGAAAGTTATTTATGGTCCATTGGATTCAAGACCTTTGTATCGTGGGAAAATTGTTTATCTGGTAGTTCCTAAAACTAATTCTAAAACACAATAGTTTTTTAAATTATATTTTGCGCCAATAGAACTTGATTGTATAAATATCATTGCCGTTCTGGGGTTAAATTTTTTGCTAAAAGAGGAACCGGGAGAGCGGATAAAGGAAATGAGCTAATTTTAATTTTTTTTAATAATGTTGTTTCTGTTTTCTCCTTACTTATTGCTGATTTTATTTCTACTATGCAGGTTTATCTGATGAAATAATAAAATGATGCTGTTTAAGTATTTGTGGAACGTTCTTAAATGATTCATCTAAAAATTCGGCCTATTTGTAAAATTGAACTTGTTGAGTACCATTTAGATCATAAATCATTTGTGCTGTGTTATCCCTTAATCTGTAAGCTTTTCAAGCAAATTTGCCTGAAAATTGTTAAAAATATGCTTATGATCTATATTTTTTAAATTTTAAAATATTTAAATAAAATTTTATTTGATAATA